TCAGATAACAGTTCAGCTGCCTTGCCACATCAGCGTCAAATTTACACAGTAGTCCAGCTATAACATTCCTAGATGACAAGTTACTAAAACACGTCATTCGAAGACGATTCAAATGGGGTCTGGAGATGTTGTGCTTTCACTAAAATGCCTTTTTTTTTACTTATCATATTTCATGCTATTTTCTCTTTTTTCACTTATTCATTTTTTCTTATTTATTCGCCTTTTTTATTCTTGGTCATTTTTTCATCATATCATGTTATTTTCTCTTTTTCACTTATCTATATTTTCTTATTTATTCGCTTTTTTATTCATGGTTATTTTTACTTATCATATGTCATGACATTTTTTTTTTATTCGCCTTTTTTATTCATAGTTATTTTTACTTATCACATTTCATGTCAAGATCCATTTTCTTTTTTTCATTTTATATATTTTATTTATTTTTATTTATTTATTCATTTTAGTTAGCTTCTATCAGTTATTTTCCTTACCCTTATTGCAATTACCTCCTGTTATTGGTCTCTCGCTTCCTCCTTTCCCTCAGACTCACTTTCTCTACTTATCCTCTCTTTCCTCTTCCCCCGCATTCATCATCCATTCCCTTCGTCCAGTCTAACCTCTCCCCCACACTCCCACTCCTCTCTCCTCAACCTCCCCCACACTTGCCATTTTCTCCCTTCCCCTTCTTCCTTTCCCCTTCCCCTCCCTCTCCTCCCCTTCCCTTTCTTCCTTTTGCCTTCTCCTCCCTCTCCCTCCATCCTTTCCCTCCCTCCTCTCCCTTCACCTTTTCCCTCCTTCATTTCCCTTTTGATCCCCGTCCCTTCATCTTTTCCCTCTCTCCCGTCCCTCCTTTCCTCCCCCTCCCTCCTCTCCCCTACCCCTTCCTCCTCCCTCCCCTTCCTCCCCTTCCTCCCCTCCCTCCCCCCTTCCTTCTCCTCCCCTCTCCCCCCCCCCTTCCCTTCCCCCTCCCCCTTCCCCTCCCTTCCCCCCCCCTCCCCTTCCCCTTCCCCTCCTCTTCCTCACCATGATCGAGCTTGACGTGGTCTGCCGAGTTCTGAGCCATGCATCGCGTCCTGATCTCCTCGCCATTGGCCGCCAGCCCCATCAGGAGTTCGAAGCCCAAGCAGGTGCCCCACAGAGGGAACACGTCGCCGCCCTTGTTCATCTGCACAGCCGTCTGGAAAGAGAGAAAGGTCTTTATCTATATATATTTCTATCTATATATATATATTTTTCTATCTATCTACCTATATATTTTCTATATATCTATTATCTTATATATATTTTCTTCTATATATATTTTATATCTATCTATCTATCTCTATCTATCTATATATTTTCTGTCTATCTATCTATCTATCTATATGCTCTATCTATCTATATATTTTCTATCTATCTATCTGCCTATTTTCTTCTTCTTCTTTTAATCTTAGGTTTTCCTTTTTTATCGTAGGTCTTCCTTCCCTGTTAGGTAGAATCTGTTAATTTTTGCATAAGAGTACACCCTCCAGTTTTTAGAACGTGCTTTGTGGGAATCATCATAATCCAGTCATTAATCTATCACAAACTAATATCAACCCATAATTGCATCACAATCCTCTTTCGGAATCACAATCAATGCTCCACCAGACCACGACCGCTAAATCAGACAACGAGAGAAGCTATGTCGATGCTTTTCTCATTATCCCTCTGGCATATCAGCGCCGAGGTATCGCGTGGCTCAGAAAAACAAAAGAAAAACGGTGGGCGCGTGTTGCTGCGTTCGAAAATAAACGCGCGAACTTGTGATGAGCTTTGTAAGGACTTTGGGATATTTTGTTGGGTTCTGTGCGTCTGACGGAAAAGGGGAGAGGGAGAGAGGGGGTGAGGGGGAGGGGAAAGGAGGTGGAGATGGAGGTGGAGGAGGGAGAGGAGGAGAGGGGAGAGGGAGAAGGAGAGGGAAAGGGAGAGGAGAAAGAAGAAGAGAAAGAGAAGAGAGAGAAGAGAGAGAGAGAGAGAGAGAGAGAGAGAGAGAGAGAGAGAGAGAGAGAGAGAGAGAGAGAGAGAGAGAGAGAGAGAGAGAGAGAGAGAGAGAGAGAGAGAGAGAGAGAGAGAGAGAGAGAGAGAGAGAGAGAGAGAGAGAGAGAGAGAGAGAGAGAGAGAGAGAGAGAGAGAGAGAGAGAGGAGAGAGAGAGAGAGAGAGAGAGAGGGAAAGGGAGAGGAGAGAGACGGGGAGGGAGAGGGAAAGAGAAAGAGAGAAATAAAGTGAGACGGGGAGCTAGAGAGAAGGAGAGAACAAAGAGAGGGGGGGGGAGAAAAGAAAGCGAAAGAGAGAAGAGAAAAACTGAAAGAGAGGGAAACAAAAAAATGAAAGAAGGAAAAGAAAACAAAAGAAATCCTTACGTCATATATGAGTTTGCCGGCTCGTCCGAATCCGCTGGTTTGGTCGATGGCTACGTCTCCGCCAGGGAAGAGCACTCTGCAAACAGGAAAAAAATGGATCACAAAAAATAGAAAATAA